TGTTAATTGATTTGAAAAAAATATTTAATTTAATTATTAAATATGTTTTTTAAAACATTATTAATTAATTAGGATATGCCGGGACGACCAGTTTTTTTATCATATTATATGTAATTATTATTTAAAATCATAAATAACAGATTTTCCTAAAATTTTATTTTAACAAATCCAAATATTATAATATATAACAACCAATTTGAAATTTTTTTAATCAATATTATATTTTTTTAACTTTTCTATCATCTTGTTTGTATTAGTTAATATATATTATTAAAGATTTGTTTTAATTACATTTTGAAATATTATAATTGATTAACCTTTTTATTATGCCTTTTTTGATCATTTTACATTTTTATCAACTAGTTTTTGTCGGACATGATTTATTCATCAGATAGCTTATCAGCTAACAGTTAGCTTATCATCCATCAACTAGCTTATCACATGTCAGCTAGTTTATCAGTTAGTTTGCCAAACATAGTCTAATAGTACTTGAAATTAAATGTTTAGTTGAACCAAATGATATTTTATTAAATATATTGAATATTCTAATAATATAATTAATGTTCTAATCAGCAAAATGAAGAAACCGTTAGAGTTGAATGTATTTTATTTGAGATTTTGATTTTTTTAATTCTCAATTTTAAAAATATTTTGAGAAATACCTAAGAAATTATTAGAATTAATTCAATTGGATAATGTAATTATATACTTATAATGTGACAACCAATTCCACCATTAAGCCATATACTCCTTTTGTATTTAATGTGGACGTCAAGTCTTAATAAAATATATAATTATTTTAAATAACATAAGTTTAAATTTTAAAATATATTTAAGTGTTCCGTTTGAAGGTGTCTAATTTGAAAATCATCACATCAAGTTTCACTCGTGACACTTAATGGAGATTTTTTTTTTCTGTAACAAGTATGAATAGAATTCATCTGTTTTTTTATGACGTTTTAATTTATAAAACAACACCTTAGAATTAATTGTTTTAAATTAAGAAATATTAACCAAAATAGTCTTTTTTTTAGAGATTTATAAAAAAAAAAATTACCATACAAATCTCTCCTAGGACGATTTTGATCAGATGGTACGGAGGGGTCTCATATGTATTTGATTTGGAGAAGAAAAATCAAACATTATACCTGAAAAGTGGAATTACCCAAAATCAGAAACATGTGGGACCCCTTCGTACCATTTGGTCAAAATTGTCACTAAATCAGATACATGTGAGACCTCTCTGTACCATCTGGTCAAAATCGCCCCCGAGGGTGATTTGCATGGTTATTTTCTTCAAAATATATGAAAAGTGGTTATTTTATTGATGTAAAAGTGTATAAATTGGTTATTCTGGTTAATTTCCCTTAAATTATGCATCTAGAACATATTTTTAAAATGAATTTTTTTTACTCCGACGTATTTTTTAAAATGGAAAAAGTATGAGAGAGAAGGTAAAAATTATTCAAATTTGGAGAATCCTTTTAAAAATTAGAAAAGAGAAATGATTTTTACTCTAATGACCAACGAGAACTCTTTAAGTTAAATAGTTAAAAGAGAGAAATAATATTTTATGAATTGTATTGATTATTTTAACAGTATAATTCATATTGTAATACCTAAAATGGATAAATTGTTGGAGATGAACGTAAATTTCATTTGCAAATTTTTCGACTTCAAATTCTTATGTTTAAAGAATCTCCGGGAGATGTTGTTAGCGTTCATAATGTTGAGTTTTTTCACTAATTTTTTGATATTGCATCATTGTCAACCCGATAACTCAGAAACCTTAGCACTCTCTCGTCCTTTTCCGTAATTTTTTTAAAACATTCCAGAGTCCCACCGTTTCTAACTTTATATTATTTATATTCTTATTTATAAAAATCAATATAATAACCACAATGGTGGTGCCTGATTGGTTTGAGTTTGGTTCCAAATGTCAAAAATACCATAAGGTCTCAGGTTCAAATCCAATGAGGAATAAAAATCCCCTTGTGTCCACGGCCACGGAGGTTCAAATGCGGTGACTCCGGGCTATCTGCAAAGCAGGTGGTCGTTTTGGGATTAATCGGCTCGCATAGCGGGTTGAATATCCAAGTTAATAAAAAAAACCAGTATAATGAAATTTATACAAATACATATTTAGTTTTATCGAGAAATATTATATTTTAATTATGTACTTATTTTACATAAATCTTTTATTCAAATATATTAATACAACATATATTACATATAAATTATT